TCACCTGGCCAACTAGGTGAATCTGCAAATTTCACTTTAAGAGTGTCAGGAGACCCCTCAGCTAGTTCGCGAGGACTCGCAGGTGTAGGGATAAAACTGAATGTTACGGCGGAAAAACCACTTCTTGACTGGATCTCAGTAGATAGTCGTATGTGTGCAGTCCGTCTGAACGGGTCCGTTAGAGGAAGGAAGGAAGCGTTACCTATCCTTGTCTTTTCGTAGTCTCCGCTTTTGCCCAACAGACTGCAGTTCGGATGAACTAAAGGATGATTTCTACCTGGAACTGCCTAATTTGCTGCAAAAAGCAAAACGTTCAGATATAGTTGTTTCAGCAGGCGACTTCAATGCCCAAGTAGGGAAGTTGTGCCAGACTGAGAAATATGTAGGTGGTACGTATGGAGTTCCCTGGTGGCGAACCGATAACGGTGATCGTCTTCTAAAGTTCTGCTCAGATAATCATCTGTTCCTAGTCAGCACTAACTTTAGGCACAAAGAGAGACACTGCGTAACCTGGCCACCTCCATCACCAAATCAACGCTTGACTCAGACCACAGCGATAGGGTTTCGTCGGTGAGGGTTAGTAGAAGAATGCCGCTCCTTTTGGAGCACGTGCGTAGACTCTGATCACTCTCTGATCCGCGCACGTTTATGCTTACGACTGAACGGAGACAAGAAGTTGACGGCAGCGAAACAGTCCCCAACTAGATCGAGACACTGAGTCCTTATTTAAGGGAGAAATAGCGAAATGAGTTCCTGAGGTCGACAGCAGGACTTCCCCCGAGGTAGCCTGGCACAACACACAGCTGTAGACACAGTTGTAAAAGCTGTTAGTAACCTGAGACCTTAAGTTAGTAAGAGCCATTGGATCTCTACCGCCTCATCCGAACTGATTAACGCAAGAAGACTGATTTCGGCGAGCACCGATCATGATGAGGAGCGAAAGGTCCTTAAACGCAAACTAACAAGAAGCCTTCGTAATGACCGTGAATACTGTTGGGCGACAAAAGCGAAAGAGATGGAAAAGGCATCGGCGATTAGCAACACCAGACAACTATTTAGGCTTATCAGGAAAACAGGTGGTAAAAGACAAATGATGAGTAAAACAATCTCTGAGAAAAATGGCACCATAATTAGCTCCCAGGATAGGCGACTGGAACGCTGGAAAGAACACTATGAGGAGCAGTTTAGTTGGCCTACAGCCACACTCAACTTACCGAACATCCAACACCTCCCTGAATGGGATATAGACACAGGTCCTCTGTCTCTAACTGAGGTTACTAAAGCTATCACTAGTCTGAAACAAGGCAAAGCAGCAGGACCTGATGGAGTGACTCCGGAAGTATTTAAGTACGGTGGAGACAGTTTACTGTCTGCATTAACAGAGGTACTAGGCAGCGTCTGGGAATCAGAGGAAGTCCGTCGGGTTGGTGGAATTCATTGATTATCCCGATATACGAGAAGGGAGACAAGTTTAGCTGTGATAATCACAAGCCGATTAGCTTCACTAATATAGCATCTAAAGGTCTAGGCTCAATAATCATGCGTAGACTAAGTGGTGCTCAGGAGACACAAACACGAGAAAACCAGGCAGGTTTTAGGCCAGGTAGAGGGTGTATTGATCATATCTTCACCCTTCGACAGATCCTAGAACATAGGCATTCCTACCGGCGTCCAACAATCGTTATAATATTTCTTGACCTAAAGGTGGCATTCGATTCTGTCGACTGAGAGGTTCTCTGGCGATGCTTGGCTGTAAAGGGAATGCCGAGAAAATACATTGCACTGATCAAGGCACTCTACTCGTACTCATGCAGCCAGGTGAGGGCTTATGGCGAGTTGTCATCTGAAGTGGTGACGACTAGTGGCGTCCGTCAAGGATGCCCATTATCCCCATTTCTATTCAATTTCATCATAGATGTACTAATGGATTTAATCCTAACTCACTTCATAGACTTAGGGATTGATTGCTACCAGGGAATAATCTCGTTGACTTAGAATATGCAGATGATATAGCCCTTCTAGGTGAGGACGCTGACAAAATGCAGAGTCTACTGCACACCTTGAGCTGCAATCTACTAATGTTTTGCATGCGATTCGCGCCCGCCAAATGTAAGATGATTTTATATGACTGGACTACACTGACTCCTAGTTTAGAAATAGGGAGTGAAGTGGTAGAGAACGTTGACCGCTTCACTTATTTGGGAAGTACCATCAGCCCCAACGGGTTGATCTCTGATTTCAGCACGGATACAGAGGGCCAGTTTCACATATGACAGTTTGCACTGTCTCTGGCGTAGACGTGATATCCGACTATCGACCAAAGGGCATGTGTACTACTCACTAGTCCGCTCCGTCCTCCTTTATGGCTGTGAGATTTGGCTATTGAGGGTGGAAGACATGAAAAGATTAGCTGTCTTCGATCATAGGTGCCTGCGTTCAATCTCCCGTGTGAAGTGGTATAATAAGGTGAGGAAATATCGAGGTTATGCATAGGTCGAGTGCTAGGTAAGAAGGGAAAATCAATCGATGAGGTTGTGAGACTACATAGATTTAGACCGCTAGGACATATGTTGCGAAAGCCTAGCCATCGATCACCTTCCCCGACGCCAATGTTAGCTGACATAGGGTCAGGTTTGAAAAGAACCAGTGGTGATCAAACCAAAACATGGCCTCATAAGTCAATGAAATGCACAAAGTTAGTTTGAGCCAGCCACGTAGGGAGGTGTAGACTTCGTGGTTGGGGTCCTCAGGATGGTAAGAACAAATGGTTGGAGACAATTGGTGATATGGCTCAAATCGTTGTCAATGGCTGCTGCAGATGCATCCACTTCTTGTGACTTATAATTTCCAATAAAACTATGTGGTTCTTCTATATTATATTTGTTTTGTCTCATATCTCTGTTTACTATCTCTATTTTGCATTTCTTTTTACTTTCTTCTCTGGTTTTGTGTGCTGAGTCAAGTGTGGCGATTCGAACTGCTGCACATCGGTGTAAAGTTCTATGTTGAAACCGGTCAGTCATTGATTCTCCAGTTTACAATTTCGACAATCCACATCCATTCCATATCTGCTCTCGCAGATTCCCAGCACTTCTAGGTGATATCTTCGCATTACTTTGGCCACCTTGGGCAGCCTTCCCAGTCTCGTACATTGCATGGACATTCCACGTCCCCATTCTTATTTTTGCTTTCATCGGGAGAAGACACATCGGCTGACTGGCTTCCCGAAGACTTTATACCAGCCCGCGGTGTCATTTCGCGTCTCCGATTCGAGCGAAGAATAAGATTGTTATGTGAAGTTTTTGTATTTTTAATATATTTTCTGTGCCTTGAAGTTTCTCTAGAGGTTTGATAGGTTTAGTGGTCTGGGGTTGATAGCCCCACGTCCAACCCTCCCTCTTTATCCGGGCTGGGGACTGACTAAAAAACTATATAAATACATATATATATTTATATATTGATGGTTTAGTGATAGAAGCTCTACAACTTTGCACGTGGTCTGGGTTCGAATTCCAGCCAACGCATTCCTGAACCTCTCTGATCCGGTAGTCAGCCCAGTGAAAAGGGAAGGTTAGGCGAGAGGGTAGCAATCCCACCCCTTAAAAAACTACAGGTGCTGGAATTTTAATGATCAACTTTGAAGGCTCACGTTCCACAGAGGACGCAAATGATATATATATATATATATATATGATGGAGAAGATTTGTAGCTCAGAGAACACAACCACATCAAAATATAGGGATATGTTTTTTAAGTTTGACCACGGATTGATATCAGTTAGGGAACCATTAAAAACCAGGGAGTACTGGACTGCTGTTTCGTCCTAATTTGGGAAATTCAGACGTTGAAGAAAGCCTACACTACACTAATTATTGATAAAACACTTAGTCCCCCAGTCGTAGGAGTTTATTGGATTAACAGCAGAATTTTCAGTAGTATTCTTCTTTCGAACCTTTTTTAGAGGGAATGCTTTACTCCAAAATGTGATGGAAACATAGAATCTTACCATCCTTGAGGAACTTTTAACTTACCTTGTAAAAGCCAGTAGATGGCAGATCGGTGCATGTTTTCTAATGGGAAATAAAGAGACGTTTCCAGGAATGGTATTCCTTAGTATGATTTACGCATTTCTGTAGTCTGATGGTTAACCGCATGCTATGCAAATATTTTCCAGTATTATTCCCTGACATAAAGCCTCGACTTCCAATATAAGGACGTAGGTGTACGGCGTAAATATTTCCAATTAGCTTTAGAAATGTTAATATGGGTGCTTATTTAAAGTTATGCGATGTTCTCTTTGTGAATTATGATGACTAAAAATCTTCTTCATAATTGTTAGCGCTGTACCGAACTTTAAAATAAGCCAATTAAACGTTTCACCCACTTTTCATATGCTCCTCCTTTAGTTTCATTTTGCTTTCCCTATCTACTTCAACAACCACTGAATCCTGGTCACCAAAAATTACATTAAAAATCGATTGCTGTTCAGTCATGGTTTCCATAATATCTAACATTACATTAGTACTGGACACTAGAGTCTTAAATGTTCAACGGCGTTATCTCCACAATAATTAATTAGGATTTCTGTGATACAAACTGATATAAAGAATTCTTAATCGAACAGTAACTGTGTAACAATGATACCGTATCGTAGACACTGGACAGGAATCTCTATCGATGCACTCATTGTGAAGTAATTCTGCTATGCGAACAAGCTTTCACCTAAAATAGTGTATGTGGGATTTTATTCCATTTACCTGAGACGACTTCTTTATCGACCGCATGTGTTGTAATACATTTGCGTAACTGAGGAAAATTAATTATTTTGCAGTTAACGATACAACTATATGGTCAGTTTATTCTATTCTCCTAACTCAGTGATGGATGGTACTGCTATTATCTAAATAAGATCCTAAGAACAAATACTAGTTTCAACAACTCTGTAATTATTAGGAATTACTAAATTGTCCTTTCGAAATTAAGACTTCAAGAAGCACTGTGGTTTTAAATTGTCTATTTAATCAAAGATACATAGTCAAGATTATATACACATGATTATTAATATAAATGTGCCTAAGTTCTAAGAAGAAGAAAAAATAGCTAATCTGCTCCGTCAAAATCCTGGACTATTTATCCACAGTCAATTGAAGAAATTCATGAATCATTCGGAGAAATTAGTTGTTGTATATTGTTAATAGCCTTCAAAGGTTCATCTTTATGCAGTAATAGATAACCTTGAACTTGTGCTGAACTCAGCGATATACCTTCTAGTAAATTAGCAAATTGTTCAGCTAACTCATGAATATCAGATGACGTCCAATTTGGATAAAAACGACTAAACATTTTCAATAATTGAGATCGATCACACATGTCCACGCGTACACGCATATCGACGCGACCAGGTCGTATCAAAGCTGGATCAAGTCTGTTGATAAAAAAACCAAAAGAAATAGTTGATGAGAAATTCTGTCTCACCATATAAGCATACTTTAACAAATACAAAAGAAATAGTAATACTAATAATATGATTACTAATCATACATCTTTAGGAAATTCCAACCAAAATGATCAGACAATACTACAATCCTTAAGGACTGTGATATCTTTCACAACACCTTATCGATAGTTTGTATATTTTTAATGTAATATCATGAAAATAACACAGTGCGAGTGTGATGACTATATTTTATTTTATCTTGCTTAAGTAGTTTAAATTCAGCTGAAATCCCATGTGTACTGTGGCGAGAGCTGTCTACTGGCCAAATTGGTAGACAGTAATTTACGTCAATGTTTACGCTCTCAATATTGGTCGTGAGAAGATATGAACAAAGACTGATTCAAAACCGACCACAGCAGACTTTGCGTAGGCCGATACAGTTAACATATAGATGATCTGACATTCAAGAAACAGTCACGAAGAGATGAAAGATTAACTTTAAGTGAGAAACAACCAATCAGAAGACTGTGTTTGTTTGCTTAACTAAACTAAATAATGTACATGAAAATATATAAATATGCTTTGATTTCCTTAATAAACGATCTGTTGCCTGATCCTTGCATTCTGTTGCTACAGTATTATATCAGGAAATAATCATTAGAGCTTGGTGAATGCAGGATTTTATTCCTTTTAATCGGCAAGTAGTATTCCACCCGTAATTACCGCAAAAAAAAAAAGAAATAATTTACAAAAAAACAGACACGGAACAAAGAGAACTCTTTCCGATAACTTCATCATCAGGCTCTACAGTTATATATACATTATAATGAATGAATGAATTAGTCTTATGAACGACATTAATGTTTAAATAACATCGAATCAATAATATTGATAGATTACAGGTGAACAGCATCAACATGAAATAAACTGAATGTCAGAATAATTAGGAAAGGTAATAGTACAAATTCATGAGTTTATAGTCTCTACTGAGGGCCAGGGCAGTAGTAGGGGCTGGACTTGTTTCTTCTGAACACAGAGCACTAGTTGTTTGAGGCGAATTGCAATAGCCTCTGCTGTTTGGAGTAAGCGGTGCTTCGACGATTTTGGTAGTTTGTTAGGCACCCGGTATATTATGGAGAAGGATTCGTCTACGCTGGCTTTGTGACCGGTTTGCACCAGATGGTCTAATATCGAGCTGTTCAATTATGGACTAGGCGTTCGGTTAACTTCAACCCATAAAGAAAGGTGTATATTAGTAAAACATTCAGTAATCAGTCATAAAATTCACTGTCGGTTGATACAAGTAAGCTTAAATTAGACGCCTGCAGGAATAGGCATCACGTACGGTGTTACATTTCTATCAATCACTTACTAAAGTTGTTATCACTGTACAAAACATTCTACACTTTTTGAAACCAAGCACTCTACACTAAATTAACAAATGTAACGCATTTATTAACTTTCTACTACTAGTGATTTTCGGACATTTACTGTGACCTAGGTCAATCAATATATTACTTTAGCTATTTATAACCTTTTGTTGATGACTAATCAATTCTGAAATGAATATTCACAATTTCATCGTGAACTTGTTTTATTTAAGAAGAAACCGTGTACATTTACCTATGGCTGCAAAGAGAGTACCACCGCCACCAAGAAGAATAAAAATGAAGTGTACAAGGAAATTCGATATACTCACTTTTCGATGTAATTTGTCGTCATAAATATAATACGACCATCGGTTGAAGTTACACCATCCAGTGCGTTTAATAATCCACTCAAAGTTAATGTTGGCATGCCTTCATAAGCTAAATAAAATGTCAATATATAAGGAAAAATTGCACAATACTAACCTTTGCTTTGAAGTAAATTATCATTCGACTTAGTACGACTGTGTACAGCAGCATCTATGTCTTCCAGTAAGATGATAGTCTGAAGTGGTGCATGTGCCAGTAAGTGATCCAGGCGATCAGCTGTCATGCCAAATTCGCTTAGATTCAGTATACTAATACTGTAATCCAAATGACCTAGAAAAATGATTCAGTAAGAATGTTAGATATATGTACGGAAATGAAAGATAAATGGCGTACAAATCATTAAAAAAAGCCACACAGCATCACCTTTAGCCTACTCAACCGTCTTCCAGTCCAGAATTCCTTATACTTACGTATGAAGATGACTTCAAAAAGTTATCCTCCGTATGTTGCTATATTTATTACTGTCTGGATAGGGAGAGACGCGTTATAAGTTCCTGTTTACATGGTCTGCAAAATAGATATTTGACGCTAACGTACATGAAGGCGCTACATGACATTGGATTTCCATTGGTGCATGCTATCCAGTCAGGACACATTTTTTCGTTAGACCAGTAATTTATTGGTCATATGAGATAAGTTCATAGTTAGCTGTAGTTTTCTAGTCAAACTGACCTACCCACCATGTAGCAAATCTTCGTCTCCCTAGTCAGTCATTTTGTCTCTGTCAGTGTGTGAATAGTATTCAAGTGGTCAGACATTTGCTGAAGTAACAGTAGAAGCGGACCCAAAATCCAGTATTATTATCACAGTTACAAATAAGTTTAGCTTGAAACTACAAAATTCTCACTTTTCAAAAAAAAAAAACTAAGTTCAGATAACTCAGTCGCCCACTAATCCTTTATCTGATACATGAAGGGGCTGTTCAGTATGATTAAAGTACGAAAACAATAAAGTATACAAGAAAAGAATATTAGAAGTGTTACAAAAAACATCGATTTAATCCAGCTTCGAAGGTTATTCTGTACTGATAGTCGATTTTAATTCCGTGCTAAACTACATTGGGCGTACAATTAGGCAGGTACATCGTCGTATTTCCGAACATCATCCAACATGGTTAAGCAAGGGACAAACAAGATCTATTCGCAGTTCTCTTTTAGCACACCTTGTTGATACGGAGCATAAGGTTGATGTTAATACAGCATTTAAAATTATTTATCGCATTCCGACTAATCTTAACTTTGCTCTACGAGTTCGTCTTCTACAGACAGCTGAAGCAATCGGAATCCACCTGAAGAAGCCAAGCCTATGTGTTCAGAAGATATCTGTACAGCCACTTTCCTTACCGTGGCCATCGTTACAAGAATGCATAAACAGGACTACGTCGCCCCCCTCCCCCTAAACCTGTAAAAATTATAATTGTTCAAATTATTTTATTTTTATTTATCTTAACCACTTCATCTTCAATTACGTGTTATTCTTGTAAAATTAATTTATTCTAACCATTTCTACCTTTTAAATGTGTATTGATTTTCTTCGTTAATTATCAAACCATTGACATTTTGACACTGTTTAATTATTGTTAACAAGCATATCGCCACTTGTTTGGTAAACGGTTGTGTGTTGTAATAAAAATGCTATATATATTAGAGTAGAGCCAGAGATGAGGATCTAACTGAAAAGTAAATATTTCTTCGCTCAATCTTTCTGTTTTCTAAATGTCAAATGGGGATATTTTCTATATTAAAAATCAACTCTCTGGCTTATCAGAATGCTGTGACTTAGATGAATCAATTATAATATGAACTATACAAGTATAAAGAATCACCTGCGAGAACAGGAGATAGTGGAGTAGAGAGATTTGCACTACTTCTCAAAAAACTGCATATTTTTGGGGGAATTCGGGTTTATCTATCCATTTCATTCTTAACTTGTTTGCTTGTACAAAGTTGTCAATCTACTATTAAATGATGAGGTACGGTATGTAGGAAATGCTCTGTCTGTATAGTTTCACTTGTGAAGACAATAATAATAATAATAAACTATCTAATATACAGCATAAGGCGAAGACTGAATGAACTAACCAAAATATTTAACAAAGAATTTTTAGGTATTATGAAAAGAATTCTAAGTTGATCTGTCAGAAGACAGTCAAATAATTCCCTACTTTCAAAATGTTTTTGGTTTCTCCTCAGCATTTAACGTTATGTTCATCTGAATAAACTGCTGTATCTTCTCCGTGGCATACTACTTAATGGATGGAAAAATTTCAACTTTGACAAAGGGTGTAGGAGTTTTGATAAGGCTGATGAATATATAATAAAGTCATTTCTTAGATTTAAGCAACTGAACTCCATAAGAATTTTGTGTAGGCTCAAGAAAGAAGTTTTCGAACTCTAAAAGCTATAGTCTGAACTTGGCATCAGAAAAGTTTGTTTAGTAATTAGATTTTATCTTCGAAAATCTTAACTTTCCTATTACACCGTTTCTCAACAAAACATTTTCCTCTACCTTACCATTTCAACTGCACTGCATTACATCATTCAGTCTAGTTATGTAATCCTAGTTTTGGTCTTGACGAGTCTTCATCTGACTATTCTTTTTTTGCCGTAATTAATTTTTATTGAATTTTCGGAGGTTGACTGAAAACAGAATATACACAGGCTATAACGATTTATCTATACAGCATTGATGCACTGCTATCTTGACAATTATGTTTAGTACGGTGAGACCTTTTCATCAATGGGGTTACTTTACCTCACAATGCAGAGAACAAAGAAGTGGACAACATAATTTTCGAAACACCTCATTATTGATTAAGCAAAACAATAGTAAAGCAAGACATACAAGACAATGAAAAGCAAAATATGCATCTAGAATATGATAAACTTACACTACTACTGATACTACTATGCTATTAACAGTTCCAACTATTTTAACTCAAGTAAAATATATATCAATGACAAGTAACCCGATGATAAACTAGTTTATCAGGTGTGCATCATTAGTAAAGCCTACCATATAAGGAATTCTGTATTACAGGATTCACAGTCTAAAATATTTTTTTAATTCAATTTTGATTTTCCCGTTGAATGATTGTACCGAAATGTTAGGTCTCTGTTGACAATTTTGTTCCTTGTGCAGATGCTTCGATAGTGTCTGATTATTTCACTTGAAGTAAACTGGGGGGGGGGTGGTAACTAGCAGTGGAATCCAGGATGCGCATTTCGTCTCATTTGGACTCTTCATCTGAGTGCATATGCATTCTTCAGTGAGTGAGGCTTGAACTCAGTAGCCATCCTTTCCTAGTGAGAATATCACCACTCACTGGGAAATACAGATACAGCCACAGAAGACGAGTCCTAAATAGGACGAAATGCCTATCTTCAACTCAACCACATTACTTCAATTTAGAAAAAGGTTGACTGTCAAAATCATCAGATCATAACGATAAATTTAAATAAGAATCTGTTGCATACAACGAACCTGCTAACGCAGTTATAAAACTAGTTTTCCCGCATCCTGGAGGTCCATATAATAAGTAACCACGATGGTATGGTATACCACGATCAGTATACCAAGCCTGATTTTCTGAAATTATTGAAAAATAGATAGTTTAGAAATAGAAAGTAATCACTGCAAGATTTCATGTTAGAGAGTACTTCTTTGAATCTGATGATATTTTAGATGGAAAAAATAATAAAGAAAAGTGATGACCGTTTAAGCATTGCATATAAATACAAAAGTTACTAGATTTTCATTCGCGAATGTATTATAAATATCCAGACCAGAAACAATTCGAGAGCTGATTCTGGTTGAATCATTATAAAACTACTGAAGATAAAGATATTGTTATATTGTTATATTATATATTGTTATACTATATATTGTTATATATATATTGTTATACTAACAGTATACAACGTAGTTCACAGTGGTATTGAAAACTGATCCCCGTTGGTCGACTAACTAGTAAGAGCAGAATTTATTTAATCCCAATCGACGTTAAACGCCTAGTATATACCTACTAGGAATTATGTCTTGCTGTTCCATACAACCTGTAAGGAAGACACTGAGATTTTAGAAGAATTACATCGAAGCAAAGCCAGCGGTTAGCTCTGACTACAAAGAGGAATATTAACGTGAATGACAGTTTCCGCATGTTACGAATACGCTATAAAATGATATTAAAATAAATATAAAAAATTTAAAAAAGCATATATAAATCAGGACATTTGTGTCAATCAGTTTCAGCCATATTTAAGATCATAGTCATCACTATTCTAAACATAAGGTGGCGTGTACTACTGATAAGATTTGTCAGTAGTATATGGAGAGACGCTCATCGGCATAAAAATATCAAATAGAGGAGAGATAGATTTTAAGTCAAAGAGAGCAAATGATTTCAGCGTTGCAGGAAAAAAATGATAGACACGAAAACTAGACAAAGAAACACAATACGAAGAGCAGAAGTGGCACAGTACGAAGATTTGTGCAAGTGGTGCGTTGAAGATACATAAGGTGTACATAATTTGGCTATATAGAGATACCGAGTTACTTGTCTCCTACTGTTACAATATTCCTGACCGAAAACTCTATATGCCACATCAGTTTAAGACAAATAAAATGGGCCACAAACAGTATGCAACGAAATTGGTTGGATGATTTGCGTGCATGAACGCATCAAAGTAGTTTTCAGCATTACTTGAAGAGCCAAAACAAATCAGAACAATGAGACACCGGTTAATTCTAATTTGCGATCGACTTTCAATACCGCTGACAAGCTGGCAGTGAGAGGAGATATGATAACTTTCAGTCTTCAACTACGAACAGTCAACAACGCGGCATTATTATCATTCAATGTTAGTAATGAATGTCTACCCCTATAGTTAGTGCGTTTCACAGACTGCACGTGCACATAACTGAAATAACCCATCCATATATAGACGACAAACCCAGCTGTTGTAATCTGTTAATAGTAGTAGGAGATGCGGTTGCTTGGTACACATACATAAGTTGTTGAGGTATGAGTTATAACTATGCGGACAAATATGAATAAGTTGTACATCTAGGGTGACTTTATAATATGTTTACCTATAGAATTACCTTTAACACCTTTTACTAGATTACACACAAGCCAGTTTATGTCAGGGTAATCAAAAAGCATGCTGATCTGCAAAATATATTCGACTATTCGAGAAAAAATATCAGAAAGTAGACTTGTACATGTAACTAAGGTACCTTAATGTGAATTTAATGATGGTATAGTGAACTAAAGCATTTATAAAAATGAAAAAACAAACAAAATAACTTCCTTGAAAAGCTTACCTACCAACAAATTCTTTCACATCTGCAACAATAGCTTCAGCTATGCCATCACGCAGTATAACAGAATTCAAAGGTCTTCTTGGACGTGGATAGCCAAACTGTCGCCATTCTGAACCAACAGCCTAAAGCAGCAGGTTGAAAACAATCACTTCAGAAACAGTAGAATAAGCATGTACGAGAAATAACTATGACTAATCTTAATTTAAGCAGAGTAATTTAGCTTCTCCTTGTTCTTTAGAGAGATATAAACTACTTAACTGCTTTCATTATTAGACCCGAAAGAATGATATAATAAGGTATATAATATATAAAACAGTATTAGTATACTAACGGATCGAAAAATATAGTCACTGACATCAAACTCAACTAGGTTGATACTCAACACGTAACATATATTTAAAGTGTCAAATGCTGTATGTGACAACAGGATTTCACTCCTTACTAGATTCATTGAAATAATCTGAAAATAACGCAGGATATAAACTCAACATTGAAGAACATAAAGTATAACTTATTGTCTACAGGTGAATTAAAGTGTTATCCACATTCCCACACAGATATTCTGATAGATATCACTTTGAAACTAGTAAAAATAATCTTACAAAACTCTAAAAGGTGGTGCATTATTTGACTGTGTATACGCTCTCCCTTTGACTGACTGCTAGAATAGGTGAAGTATGCTTATTAGCCATTCACAATGGAGCTTCTTTATTACAAAGGACAAGGAATTTACTACGATTTGCTGAAGCAATTGCAATCAAACGTTTCAGACCAAACTTATGCACACAGAAGGAGAGTGTAATCAATCTCTCACTCCCTTGGTAACCGTATCACTTTCATTACATTGATTAGTTATACACACTAGTGAGCTCAGCTCACTAAGCAAGTTTTCAATCTCATGAACTTTAACCTTCTTGAGTCACTATGTTGACGTACAAGGTAACACTGTTTATTAGGTTTTTCTATCTTCTCTCACCAACCCCCCTTTTTTCATAGTTTCAAAGCATGTAAATTGATGGTGACTCTAACTAAAAATTGTAATGCTTATGCTCCGGATACGTTCATCTTATAATGTACTCTCTGTTACCTTTCACACATTGAAGTATGAAATGTCATTATTTATAACCATTGTAAAATCAGGTAGTTTTCAGCTGATGAGAACCTGTAAAATAGAATATCATTTTGTACTGCAAATTTGGTATTTCTCTATCGAAATTTATCAAGGGAACCAAAAGTATGAAACTGCTATTAATCTACTCACTCTAAATAATTTCTGTTCGACATAGGTTGAGATGGCTGCGACATGTCAAGCGCATGTCGAGCCATCCCCTTCCTCGAAGCGCAATGTTAATCAACATTGGATCATGATGGGAAGGCGTTAGGAGTGGTGAAACCAAAACTTGCAATCAGTCCATAAAGTCTTTGTCAGTTGGTTTGAGTCATGTGATGAGGTGTCGACCATCTGGTTGGCGTCCTCAGGATTCTAAGAACCAGTTGCTGGAGACTATTGGTGATGTGACTCAATAGTGGAGATGCATTCAATCCCCCATATCCACTAAACCATCATGTTTTCCCATTTTCTTATCCTTGTCCCTCACATTTCTGTTTATTATTCTAATAATAATTCTTTGATTTAACTTTTCCTCTCTTTTGTCTACCTTAATGTGCAATATGAAGTGTGACAACTTGAACTGCCTCACTTTTTTTGCAAAACCGTATGTTGAAATTCAGTCAGTCAGTCAGTAAACACAAACATAACCGCATAACTTTCGCTCATTTCCTTAATCACTGTAATGATTTGTCTATATATGTGTTTCAAATTCATTAAACAATTCAACATAAGATGTCCAAATAGATTCCTATACCACAGCTTGTATACGATTACTGCTTGTAAATTTCCACTGCTGATCCTATTATTCCTTAAACTGAGTCAGGTAGGGAGATGCAGAATTCCGGGTTGGGGCCCTCGAGACTCTAAGAATCAATGACTGGAGACAATAGGTGACATGGCTCAAAATCGTTGTCAGTGGCGCAAATGTATTCAGTCTCTGTAATCTTTCATATTCCTTTCTACCATTACTCATTCTGTTTCACTCTTATACTTGTCAAAACTCCATTGATTCTCTTCACTCATCTTCTTGTCTACCCTCGTGTGCTCTTTGGAACATGGCAACTGGAACTGCTGCACTTCGGTGCCAAGTTCTATATTGAACCCAGACAGACAGACTGATGCTATTATTCCAGGAGCAATAAAAAACGACATCTACATTATAAACTGTATAAATATGCTAGAAATAATCAGAAAGCGGAAAACGGTTGGAACTATAATCCGACAAGTCTGAGAAATTTTGTTATCATCAAACTAAATATGAAGACGAAATAGTAAACTAATTATGAGTACTGAATAAAGGTAGTAGTAATTATATGTAAATGTAGACATTTTCTTAATCAAACTCACCTTGTAGACAACAGTCCAACCTTTTTCTCGAGCCAAAGCTTCTTCTCTAGCCTCTTCGAGTAGATCAATAAAAAATCTGGTATTCCGACCAAAAGTAGTAAGAGTTACACTTTCAAACGGAGCTACTGATGCACCTTGTAAGGACTGTTGTGCTCGAACGCGTTCAACACGTATCAATCTCATCTGATGAGTCATGTAATGGACACCAACGCTAGGTACAAAATCAAATGCAGCTTTGATTCGACCGCCTTCTGTGCGTATAACATTAGTTTCTACACTGAGATGTTGACTTGCACCACTCATTCTCCCTTTTGCATTATTTGCTAGTGGTCCACTAGATTTCATTGTGATCCAGTGTAATACCCATGGATAAGCTTTGTCATAACTGGCTACTTCTAAGGTAAGAGTAAGATTGCGACGAACAAGAAGATTCATAACTTGACCTATTCTCCTGAGAGCAGCCATACCAACTCCAACTCCAAAAAGTCCTGCACCTGCACTGAAGTATGGATTATCTTTTAAAGCAGAGGATGCTATATCTTGCAAAGTCTCCATATTACTACAGCACATTCGGAAAAGACATCAAAAACAATATTAGTTACAAAAACATTTAGCACCTTTACATTCTTCAAAACAGAATATATTACAAGAAAAAAGAAATCAAACATTGATAATTATGATAATACCTCCTCATATATAGTTACTGAACTAATCACTACAAAAATGGCAATGTTAGCATTAGAATGACACGTATTATATACAGCTGAAATTATAATACTGATTTAATAAATTCTTTTACCTCTTATCACTAAGTACACTCGTGTTTACAATTAAGAGGATATCAGCAACCACTATAAGTACTACGTCGTGAATTATTTCATTGCGTCATAAGTAAATTCGCTTTGCCTTGTTTGTACGTTCGAAAGATTTGCTACTTCTTATATACTGCTACAAAACAGTACTGTTATATAAAACTGTCGGCTTAGAAAATTTACAACAGAATCTGCATTTGTTCAGGAAGTATGTGAAAAGTAGCATGTACTTATACATACATATTCAAAGAATTTTGAAGCAGTAATGCTGCATAATCAAAATAACATAGTAGTATCTGACTACAGAATTCACGTATTTAGTGACTTTCGCTATTATACAAACACACATATTTCACTGAATCAAATCAGATTACAGGAAGACAGAAATACCCCTAAACCCTTCTTACGATAGGCTACTGTTCATTTGTAAATGTGAGAAATAGACAGAAGAAAAGTAATTCAATATTTCCCATTGTAACATTAGGAACACGATATTCAGAGAAGACTCTTTTTAACGAATTTATTATCAAGCTATACAATCGTATATATATATATATATATAATTCATTGGGTAACAAAATGGAAACATTTTTGATTAGTGTTCAGTGTTACACCGATTGAGATGGTTAGGACATGCGTTGCGCATGCCTAGCCACCGCCTACTTCGACGGGCAATGTTAACCGACATAGAATCAGGTTGGAAAAGAGCCAGTGGTGGTCAGACCAAAACATGGCCTCATCAGTCAATGAAATCCATAACAGTTAGTTTAAGTCAGCCACTCAGGGAGGAGTAGACTTCCTGGTCGGGGTGCTCGGGATGGTAAGAACCGATGATTGGAGTCAGTTGGTGATATGGCTCAAATCGTTCTCGATAGCACAGATGCATTTGTCATATCCAGTAAAATTCCATTGTTCTTCCAAATTACTACTCTTTTCGCATCATATTTCTGTTTATTATCTTTCTTCTCTTGTTTTGTGTGCCACATGGAGGGTAAATGGCGACTTGAACTGCTGCACATCTGTGCAAAGTTTTACGTTGAAAGCAGTCAGTCATTGTTCACGATATTTGCAAATAATCATTTGTGGAACATGTCGTTTTACATGTACATGAAGTAAATTTACTACAGGGCCTAACATGTTTCAAACTTGAATGTCAAAATCCTAAATAAGGAATCCACTTCGATATTACTGACATGAAAAATTCCAGTTATTTGAGTTTTGGTTATAGGAAAAACGTGATTCTAGATCTTAGTATTTCCTAAAAACGAAACATTTTACTCTAAGGTAAATTTTATAATCTTGTTAGACTACCGTGAGGTAAGATGGAACTGTGTGAGGTTACTAACCGATTCACAAATCAACTTAGAACTAGAGGTTCTAAGTTAACAAATGACAACTGCAAAACCACCATCTGTAAAATTGAATACAATAAAACTTTTACCTCAGATACAGTAAATGAATGTTATACCCTCAAATTATTGACTGAATGCCCGATGTCTCCTGTGAATCTGGTCAAAATAACTTCCCATTAACTGACGATTTTTGTTTCCTTTCTTTATTGAATAAATTTATTTCTAGATTTGAACACGAGCTGACATCAGTCAGAGAACCATTAGGGTCGAGTCCCAGTGGCTGAATGGTAAAAGAGCCCGTCTTGCAATCGGAAGATCCTAGGTTTGAACCTTAATGACTGCGTACTGCTGATGAGTCCCGAACTAGAACGAAAGGGCTGTCCAGTCCTTCATGGTCTTCCAGTGGCTCTCTGACTGATGTCAGCTTGTGATCAAACCTGCAGCCAATCAAATCTCTTCAAATCAACACTTGATAAATTTATTCAGTTAAGTAATTCATGATTATTTTTAAACAGCACAAAGAGAAAGACAATTTAAGTTGAGAATACGAACAAATAAGTAGTGGCAAGCAAAATAAAATGTAGAGAAGAGAAATAACAGTTTTCAAACTTTTATTTCTTACATACTGAGATATAAAAAATAACATAAATTGCATGGTATATACAAAGTTATACTGCAATTAATCGTCATGACGTAATCATAGAAAGTTTGATATCTGAAGATATATATACATAAGTATTAGCTTTCAAAATTGTACTCATTTAATTATCATATATCCACTCCATTGAAGCGAAACGTCAAATGGCCTTTGACTTCCATAAATGCATTTCAGATCAGGTAGTGAGATTCCTATCTTCACTTTCGATATAAATGGAAATCAAATATCGACAAATATTATGGCCAATCACTGATAGGTGGTGGCATAACTCCTTGAGATTCTAGTTTATTCCAGAGTGTTAAGACTGGTTCTGCTGTACGTGTATGCCAGACTAAAATCTAAACAGACAGAAAAAAACAGAATTCAATTTATTATCATACAAATAAGTGTTCTACACTATTATGATGCACAGTGTCATTGATAGCGATAAATGCTTAAACAGGTGTTTTCGATGTGGTTGTGTTCTCTGAGCTGGATAGTTAATTTGCGAAGCTTTCATCGCCCTACTAGGCGACATCTTCAGCGCATACTTCAATTTGTTGAAGTGAGCTTTTAGATTTCTCCACGAGTTTATTAATCATCTCTCCTGGTGACCTTGGACGTGATTGGCTGTTTCTGTGAGTTTTCACACCTTCTAGGCTACTTGTATTGGAACTGATTATTTCTTTGACTTGAACTTTGACCCTTTGTGTGTGAGGTTTCTTTCTTTAGCAATTGACGTCGTACACAAATCAACAAAATCACTTCCCTCAGTTCTATGTTAACCAAAAGACTTAACAACGAAAGAAGATAAAACCAACATCATCTACAAAATAAATTGTAACAACTGCGAAAAAAGCTACATCGGCCAAAGTGGAAGTCCCCTTCGTCTTCGTATCCACGAGCATAGGCTAGCCGTCAAAGGAAATGACATCCACTCCCTCACATCACTACATTCAGACAACTATGGACATCGATTCGAACGAGGGAACACCAAGAATGCTAGAAAATTTTTAGAAGCCTTGTATTCCAGTGAATCATCAATCAATAGACACATCGAGATAGACAAAATTTATCAACCGATAAGAAAGAAACCTCACACACAAAGAGTCAAAGTTCAAGTCAAAGAAACAATCAGTTCCAATACAAGTAGCCTAGAGGGTGTGAAAACACACAAAAACAACCAATCACGTCCAAGGTCACAGGGAGAGATGATTAATAAACTCGTGGAGAAATCTAAAAGCTCACTTCAACAAATTGAAGTATGCGCTGAAGATGTCGCCTAGTAGGGCGATGAAAGCTTCTCAAATTAACTATCATCCAGCTCAGAGAACACAACCACGTAAAAATTATCCAACTGAGCTACAAATCTTCCCCATCATACAGATGTTTTCAGCCAATAAACAGTTAATAATTAATAAAACCAAACTAAATACTACTGATTCATCGGGACGAGCAGTTGTATACTACTCATATCAACCAAACCGAAGTGATCCAAACACTGGACGACCATTTCGCTCGTTCGACGACAAGCTCACCCCCAGTGGTGTAAACTCTGGCGGTCAATGAAACCAGAAACAATTAGTGCTCCAACTAAAAAACTATGTGGACTAGGAGGCAGTAACGTAAACTTATTCTGGAAAAAGAAGTTAAGGAATCTGGTAACCTCGTTATTTAAGAAAATCTTATGACACTTTACATGAAATTGAAAACATACTACTTTAAAGCCATTTGACACAAAGATGTGACTGTTAGAAATTCCTTGACGTTGAATCATAGCTAAACTTTTCAAAAATTGCATGAGTACACCGAAAAGAATTACCGTGTATCTCTATTTTAAGACACACAAATGAATCTAATTATGAATTGATTGTATAAGAACTACTTTTAATTGGATCTAGTAAAATCCTTAATAATTAACGTCTGGTGGAAATGGCAAGGGGCATGTGAGAATGTAGTCAGAGAAATGAAGCAAAAAGCGAAAAAATATGCAGAATAAATTTTTTCAGGTGCTAGTCACGTCAAATAAATTTTCGACAGTCATAGTAACATAGTTTGATGCAGCCTGTGTAATAAAACTCACTCGTTGTTACTAATAATTACAAAGTCATATCTGAAGAAATAACTAAAATTTTAGTCATCTACAAAACCACACAACTAAGTACCAACGATTTCGTCACTAACTTTTTGGCAGCCATCTGCCAGTGGTTCTAACTCTCTCCAATGTTTTATGCCAAGATCCAACAAGAATTGTGATTCTTGCATCCCACGAGGACGTTTGTAGTCGAAACCAGCATTTGGATTTTTGAGAATAAGATCAACATTAACAGCAAAACCAGCCATATCAATTGGAAAAGGACGTTCAGGTTTATACACTGACCACATCCTTGTGATATACGTTCCATTTGTAGATGTCACACAACCCTCCCATGGAAGTTCACCTGCAAATCCAACTGGCCACGTTGAAACTCTACTTGTACCTCGCATCTGAAATTATAAAATACTTTTACATATTACTGACTTATGAGGTAGAACATACAGAATTAACTTAAGCCCACTACAATAATTAATGTGTCCAGTGTTTAAAAGAAGAAGGACAGGCTGTTTAACTAACTTCTAATATCACATTATGCTTCACATCTCTGAAGTCGAAGGATACAATTTTGAACGGTCAGTTATTTATTTTATTTTTATTTAAACACAGAATATGGCACCAAGAAGATGAGCCACATAATAATAATAAAACAACATAGATTAAAAGTATAAATATAGGTAAAAAACGGATAAGGAACGTCATCTGAAAGGAAAACAGTCATATTTAACAGGGTCAAACAGCTTTCGTCAATCATCGTCGTAAAAGGAAGAAAGAAGGAAATTGCAGCACGTTCGCCATTGATTACGATTCTTGGCCATATCCGATAACGTTTCGAGCCACCGATTCGGGCCACCTCTCGGACTCCAACCAGGTTTCACAGGTGTAGAGCAAGACAGCCCGCTACGCAGCATTGTATACCTGACCTTCAACAGCCAGACTAACGTCGCGACGGCGCCAAAGGCGGCTCAAGTCAATGTATACCACCCTATCTTTCATGTTACGGTTAGAAATTTCATGCATCACCTCTTCGCCAGCACTCACACAACTACCCAGATACACAAACTTATCAACAATTTCAAGCGGTTCACCTACAAGAGTGAGTGCAGGTACAGGCTCCTGCCAATCTAGAAACAGTACTTTGCAGTTAGACGGAGCAAAGCACATACCATCCTTACAGACACTGATCGCCAACTGATTAAGTGCGATTTGGGCAGCCTGCATGTTATCGCACAGTAAGACGATATCGTGTGTATACTCTAGGTCGGAAAGAGGTATTTAAGTTCGACCACCACGACAAGGTAGCAGTTGTCGGCCGGGGAACGGTCATGAGGAAAATTTGAAAATTAAGTGGTTGATAAAATTCATCAATTCATTGCATAGTGAATTAGTGAAACAATGTGAAGGATGCCGTTAGTGGGAACAGTGGGATTGGATATGTGAGTCTCCGCTGGGGCTAATCCTAGATGAAATTTTCTAAATGAAATTAGAAAAGCGACTTTTTATAATTATATCTAGCTAGTTGAAATCTTATTGTCGACACATTCTTAATTCCAGTAATTGAGAGTGAGACAACGGATATTTTGAATAAATCTGATGATGTACGATCGGTAATGAATTTTACCACCAAGAAATAAAGCAGTAAGGATATTTTATTTCCAGACTTTTTGAAGACTGGGAAAAACAAGTAACAATATAAGTGAGCATATATAGAAAACCAATATCGACAGACCATTTTTTGAATTATGACATACATACACAACCTAGTAAAGTCTTTGGTTTACAGAGCCAGAGTAGTCCGCTGAAATAAATCTATCAGAAAGGAATTTAGGATTATCCGTGGATCACCCAGCAAAACCGATATCTCGAAGAGTTCCGTCTTAGAAATTTAGTGTCTAAACAGCTCCGGGAAAGCTGCTCTTCCTAAAATCGCGACTTTGTGGTAACATTGGTAGAATCGCAATACATTTAAAGCATGCTATGAAACAACACAACTATACTGTATGTTAACAATTTAACTGATATTGTGTTCCAGAAACAAAGATAAACTTCAAAATTTCACTTCCGCCGCGTGTACCTACCAGTTTCACTGCTTACAGGAATCCAGTTACACAGGGTGTGCAATTAGGTACAGTCGTCGTCGAATGTCTGAAAATCATTCCGCATGGTTAGGTAACGGGGTAAATGAAGTCGATTTGCAATTCCAGAACATTTTGTCCGTACTGACTATATAATTTATATGAAAAAGGCATTTCAAGTTATTCACCATATTCCTACGGAGCTTAGTTCTCCGGCGCACAGTAGACATTGAAATGCACCTGAATAAACCGGTTATGTGCCCAGAACATGTTCATACAGTGACGCTCTACATCTTGCATACCTTCAACTAAACTTTACTTTACTTTACTTCGGCTATCTCCTACGGGAGGATGAGCCGGCTTCATGAACATCTCGAATCATCGCTGCCCAGGCACGGCGATCTGATGCAAGGTTTTGCGACAGGGTTATCCAATTCTTGTTCCACAGACGGAGTCCGTGGGAGAGTTCATGGAGTTTCATGGGAATTTGGTACGAGTGATGTCCCCAGAATCGCTCGGCCTTTTGTTTGAGAGTGCAGCTCTAGCCTTCACACAACCAAGTGTGACCTACAAGGCAGTAGGAGTGGAGTAGGGAGTCCACTATCCATTGGCAGCCGGTGACCGGAGTTCGGTTCATACGCCTTTTTGAATGGGGCCAGACATCCAGGACATCCAACAAGCCCTTTGTTCATACGTCTGCCGGTGAGCTCCAGTGAGCTTCATACGCCAGTCGTTGGAGGTTTGGAATCAGGGTTTAGCCATCTCCCCTAGACTGTCATCCAATGGACAGTCAACCCGGTGAAGAGCGCCGGGCATCCGCTTTCGCCCTCTCACTTTGGTGAAAAACACCTCCGCCACGTGAAGGCAGTGAGTAGGACTTCCTCAGGAGAGGCTATGTAAGACGCCCGGTCATATGGGAGCATTTCAAGAGGTGTGCGGAGGGGTGGCCAACCCGCAGCGCGAGGCACCCACCCCCGACCATCCTGAGGCTTTGGAGGCCTTCAACTAAACGCGACTCATCATTCACTCACCCACTATCCTATTTACATACTGTTATTACTTTCACTATCCTATTAGTCTGCTTATTCTACCTCCAACTATTCTCATTTAACTGACTTTAATAATTTAGTCACTAATTCATTCTTCTTATTTTCATCATACAAATTATTATGTAACCACCTGTTTCAATTTTTCTAATTTACTGATTGATTACCACTTCTCTGACTGTCAAAGAAAATTACCCCCAATAAATGCGCTACACGGAGTGTTGCGACTCAAACCGCTGCACTTGTGTGCAATGTTCTATGTAGAAACCAGACAGTCAGTCAACCCTACAGACTTGGTCAACTATGTACTGTATATTAAAAATTGCTACATATATTAGTGTAGAGCCACTAACGTGGACCAATTTTCATCTCAATAAACTGTTTTCTGAATGGTTAAATAGGGAGTTTCGCCATACCGAAATAATATGCTATCCAACAGACGAGTTCAAAGTAAAAAAAAGAATCTCATCTAAGGCTAGAACCAGATCTTTACCAGGGGGAATTCCCGCTACTGGCAATTCTTCCGATACATTTGGCTACCTATATAAGCCTTATAATCGCGTTCCGCATATTGAACATTTCACGGACTAGAAACCTCTCTTCTGATTATATGTTGAAATCAGTACTGTCATTAGCCCTCACCTACAGGTTTGTCTGTGTATATAGTGCACAATTCTGTGTATGATTTTTTAGTTACATTATCATACCAAGCTGACGAAATGTACTGCCCACGCCCAAATGAAAGTACTCAACTATATTGTTTATTTTAACTTACATATGCCTGTCTAGAGGGGACTGATATATATTACTTGAAGTAAAACAAAATTCCTGCTGCTGCTGCTGGATTCAACATAGAACTTGGCACCGAAGTGCAGCAGTTCGAGTTGCCACGTTCCAAATAGCACACAAAGGTAGACAGGAAAATGAGAGAAGAGAATCAATAGAATTTAGACAAGTATAAGAGTGAATCAGAATGAGTAATGGTAGAAAGGAATATGAAGGTTAAAGAGACTGAATACATCTGCGCCATTGACAACGATTTTGAGCCATGTCACCTAGTGTCTCCAGCCATTGATTCTTAGAGTCCCGAGGGCGGGCCCCAACCCGGAAGTCTGCATCTCCCTACCTGACTCAGTTTAACTGTCAGGGATTTCATGGATTGACACCATGTTTTTGTTTGGCCACCACTTACTCTTTTCCAACCTACACCTATATCAGCTACTAATGCCCGTCGGGGGAGGTGATGGCTAGGCATGCGCAGTACGTGACCTAGCCTCTTCTATTGATTTTCCCTCTTTGCCCAACACTACGCCTAACGTCAACATTACTTACCTTATTATACCACCTAACGCGAGAAAGATATCGTAAACATCTGTGGTCAAAAACAGACAATCTCTTCATCTCTTCCGCTCTCAATGGCCACATCTCACCGCCATAGAGAAGGACGGAGCTAACTGCTGAGCAGTACACACGTCCCTTGGTTGATAGCCGGATGTCACGCCTACGCCAGAGACGGTGTAAGTTAGCGAAAGCAGCCCGAGCTTTTTGGATCCGTGCTGAGATTTCGTCACCAATCAATCCGTTGGTGCTGATACAACTTCCCAAATAGGTGAAGTGGTCAACATTTTCTATCGCTTCACTCCCTATCACTAAGCTAGGAGTTGACGTAGTCCAGTCCTGTAGCAGCATCTTACATTTTACAGGGGCGAATCGCATGCCAAACATACGAAGATTGCTGCTCAAGGTGTTCAGAAGACTTTGCATTTTGTCAGCGTCCTCCCCTAACAGGACTATGCCGTCTGCGTATTCTAAGTCTATAAGACTATTCCCTGGTAACAAGTCGATTCCTAAGTCATTAAGTTCAGTTAAGGATACTTCCATTAGCATATCTATGATGAAGTTAAACAGAAAAGGGGAAAGTGGACATCCTTGACGGACACCACTGGTTGTTATCAATTCAGATGACAATTCCCCATAAGCCCTTACACAGCTACGTGAGTTTGAGTAGAGTGCCTTGATTAGTGCTATGTACTTTCTTGGCACTCCCTTCACAGTCAAACATTGACAAAGTACCTCTCTATCCACGGAGTCGAAGGCCGCCTTCAAGTCAAGAAATATGGCAATTGTTGGACGCCTAAAAGTGTGTCTATGTTCTAGGATCTGTCGGAGAGTGAAGATATGATCTATGCACAAAACCAAATTCCAGGGAAAACAAAACAAAAATAAGGTACTGAAACACCAAGAGAATAATAAGGATGTAACTTGAGACATTTGACAATTTGTATTATAACCGTAATTTTCGCTAAGCTTTTATTCATCTGTTTTTCAAAAAGCAATTTTCTAGTTCACACGAACATTAGCTTTTTGAGGCAAATGATATAAAGAGAATGCTAACATCCAGGATAAAACATGTAATAGAAACCAAAACACCATCTATTAACTTACTTCTTCAAATATACGTAAATCATACGAGTTGTCATCATCGGCGATATATAAAACACCTTTGTTTTTACCCAACATAAGATTTTGGCGCAACCACTGAAGTCCAAGATTTCGTTGATGTATGCCTTTGGGACGAAACCAGTACGGTTCATTCAATTTAGGCTTTTCAGAGTGAGGTGTTGGTATGTTTAGGTGCACAAAAGGAACTCCACAATTATCTAGAATATTTGCAACAACTCTGGAAAGAATTAAAGAGTAGGAGAACACATAACATTCAAATAAATTTCTACCACTCTCAAGACAACTACCTGAATGGAAATTGTACTAGCTTAGTAGATGCTTGGCAACAATTGACAAAAGTTATTTTAAAAAATGTATATAAAATGGGAAGACTGATTAGGTACAAGACAGCATTCCTGAACAGTGTTAACATTTAAGCTTACAAGGCATAATAAAAACTAGAAGAAAAAAGATAAATACCGTGTAGGCTGCACACTGTCCTCTACAAGAATCCATAAAATTTCTTTCAAATTGTGCAAAGTGTTACATATTCTTGTAAGTTCTGCTCTTTGGACATTTCTTTGGTAAGTTGCAGTGAGTATGTATAAAACAGGTTTATCTGCATGATCACTGAAACTTGCTAGAAATAGTTCGTCATGAAATACAGCCATACTTATGTGTTGATTTTTTACGGTATACAGTGTAATTAAGACTACCAACACACAAATCAAAGCAGTGAGTTTACGGCGATGCAACACCATCCGTTTGAACGAAGTCCATGTGGAACTGATCGATGGCCGGACAGTCGTCTAAAATATTTGTAGAAAAGATGTATCAATTACACATAATGTTTATGATGAGTGAAGCTACTTGGACTACAATGTCTAATAGAAACAAGTTAACCATAAGTCAGGAATATCCTAGCCAGTCTTTCAAGCAAACCAAACTTAGAACAAAGGACAAGGAATCAGTTCATTTTGGTAGAAACATTAGAACTCAATCTAAGATAACGCGACATAACCTATGAAAAATTGCAGCATGAAAACAGATAATATCAATAAAATATTTAGGATCACTGATTAATGGTCCAAGCTGTTACACTTTCAAATTGAGCCAGTAATAAGAACGACAAAGGGATGAAAATCATATAAGCAGAGGTCGTAAATCGTTAAATGCAGGTGAAGAGAAAGAACAAGTGCGGAGAAGTAATATTATGGTCAAGATAAATAGAAGATATGAATCTATCTACCCGAATACAAATAGACCGAATTGGTTGTCTCAAAGTATCGGCATCAGCTAAGCGAACTCCACTTAGCTACACGGCCCAGATCGACAGTGAATAGCTTAATTTATTAGGATTTTCCTAGTCTGCCTACCCTGTCTTCTGCCAAAACAATTCTATCTATTAACAGCACATGTAAGTAAACCACGAGTAAGTGCGTGTAATATCTCGGTAAAAGAAGGCGAGTGAGCTTAATCAATCAAACGAATAAGTGACTTATCATACCCAAGGATCTATACTTATACGCTGTCCATATGGTGTCTGCATCAAAAGTAAACAAAGTAATTAACTGTCACCAAATACTTGGAGTTTTCGTAGATCTGCATCTAACGGCAAAATTTCACATTTATAGAAGACAAAGCACAATGCACTAAAGTTATATCACCTGTTTCATAAGAAATCTGGTAAAAACAGAGAATTCTTCATAATTGTGATGACATCTTATCATGTATCACCAAGACTGGTAAAACATCTCAGGCAGGTAAAATGACGACGAATTCAAACTCTTTTTTACTCCCTATAGTCTTCAAGTACTAATTACATTACGAAAGGAAGTGGGATTCAAATGTTATCAGAATGTCATTTGCGGTGTCAAATCCCCGTATATTGTCAGTGTCTTCTCCAAAAACAGGACTATTTTATCTGGATACTCTAGTCAACAATAGGAATTTTCATTAGCATCTTCATCATTTTGAAGCTATAAGTGAAAATACAGATCTCCATTGTCGCGTAAGTAACTGAAAATATAAGTTATACGTCTCTGCCCGATACTACTCGATATAGACACCTCAGGACACAGCTCACCATAGAAGCTAGTGCTAATAATAATATCCGATTACACAGCATTCTATAAGACGATTTGGTTGACATACATTCTCTTTAGCGAGGAGCTATGGATCAACATGTAAAGAGGCATTTTTTCTAATAATTAAATTTGTACGGAAATAAATCAGTTGTAAAAATAAATGTGATTAATTCTAGCAATCCGAACTAAGAGGAGATTTAAAACACGCATTTATATAAAGGGACTTGACTTATGTCTAGTTCTAAAGGAAAAATGGAAACAAGTGTAAATTACATGGGGGATGTAGCGAGGGCATACGCATTCATACACTTTACACATAGATAGGTAGATTCAATCACTCCTGAGCTCTTTCTAAGGTCGTACAAAGCATACGTCAGACCACACCTTGAAGTGCACAATATAATTGCACCCCACTGCTTAGAAGGGACGTAAACCTCTTGGAAAGAGTTCAAAGACGGGAGACAAAATGAGTAGTGGGTCTCCGAAATAAACGTGTGATGAAAGGTTAAAGAAATTAGGTCTCTTCACACTTAGCTACCATCGGCTTAAGGGGGTATTGATTACTGCCTATAAGATAACAAATGACGAGAATCACCCAAACAAAGGTGTTCTGCCATTGAGTATGTATGGGCTTCCTCGTGGAAATCCCAGAAAGCTAACCAGAGGGCCAAGACTCGGGTGCGCTTCCAGTTCTATTCACTGCGAGTTTGTCGTCCCTGGAACTCCTTACCGACAGATGCAGCTATTGACATCTTTAAGCGAAGGCTGGACAATCATGCAGTGACACAAGGACTGAGTCCAAATGGCCTATCCCCTTAAAATCCTATACACCATTTATGGGTAGACATCTAAATTCGTCGTTTCACTTCACATATTCTCTTCTCTTACTCACCTGACTAGTTTCACTACTACACTTATAATTATTATTATGTACTTTTATATATATATATATATATATATATATATATATATATACTACAAATTTAATTAGCTCTGCTTTTACGTTTCTTTTATTTCTTTTTTGTCTGTTAGTCTGCACAACCTACACTAATTGCATCTGTTATTATTATCTCTACTTCTGACGACGACAATGGAGGACTAACTGGTGAGAGGATCAACTCCATTCACAGTAGCAAAGTCTTAACACACTGTATACTACAAACAACATATAATTAATCCCAGCACCACTCCTTTTGGAGTCAACCAAAGCTACGACAGCCTAGTGGCGGGACGAACTACGCAGAAGTTTACCGAAGACCAGGAACCTTTACCTCAATCAAGAAGCGAGCACGAAGGAATCAAAGTGGTTTATACTAGCTCGTAAAAACGACATTGGATACTGGAACTGGTGAAAGTCTAGAATTCTTACATCTGGTTCGAACCAGTCACAGAGATAACAGAAAAGATAACCCTCTCAAGGTTGCAACAACGCTTTGCTAAAGTTGAATAATGCGTTTGTGCTGAATCAACATGTGATATCTAAAAATGCTGGTGAAGAAATGCTAGTAGAGTTTGAAATATCGGCGGTCCACGCAGAAAATATGGCCAGTACAGCACTAATGCGAATAGTGCACGCACTTATTCATCACACAATAAAAGCGTCAGTTCACATTTCCGCATTACAATGAGCTTGGGAAACTGTACTATAAAAACTATGGTTTAATTCTTACGAAAAACCACTTTAAAGTCTTAAAACATTACATAATTTAAATTGACAAACCTTTATCGTCCCCATTTCAGTGTCTAAACTTTCAGGGACGAAACGCCCACTCCATTTGGCAAAACTCGATCTGCACTCCGCCACCAAGGTCAGATTGCACCCGACGACCTTAAATTTGTAATGGACGCTTAAACATACAACTTCTTTGTGCTCAGAGCGAACAACTCTTGCTTAAAGCTTTCTCAAATTGCAATATTTATTGTCAGATCAATGACGGCCAAAAATAATCATTGTTTTACTGATCCTTCTTGTCAGTAATTATCTGTAAGTCTCATACCGCAGCTGTTAAATGTAGGACCGCGTTACCACAACTCTCCTAGTGAAAAGCAAAGTATCTACAAATACCTTTTAGATGTCTATGACCGCAACTGAGACAGTAAAACTTTGTATTTCGTGAAATACCTTTTATGTGATTCCCAAGATTGTATCATAATACAGAAATTCATAAACTACTACACTATGTCAGTACCCAGCGAAGACGGACTTGAATTTCAAATTCAGTTGTGAGTAACTTGATATGATTATGAGCAATAATTTGTACTCGAAACGTCATCAGTTAATATTACTGTGTGATTTATCAAAATAAAATCTTATTCAAATTCATCGTAGTTATTTCTTATTCAGAATGATCTAATGACTGCTTTTGAGTTAAACCAAGTATTATCTTCGTCGGTTTCATATTCATTACTTCAGTAATGATAATGCGCTAATTACCCTATTACGTTTCATCTTAACAATTACATACTGAATGTACCTTGGGGTAAAATAAGCGAACCTATTAGGCGTATTAACTGGCAGACACTTTACTGAGGCTATCAATATTAAAACTTCCAATACATTTTTCGGGAACAAGATCAAGTGGTACAACATGGTGGAGGTAATTGATTCCCTAAAATTGCTAAACTACAGCAGTCTTCACTCAACACTGGATGCTAACCTTCACCTGTTTTACCTGACCTGTTAAGCCGAAGGCATTCGGTCAAGCATACACACAATTTGGTACGCTGTCATGCTAATTTCAGCCATTTATCCACAAACTATAGCTAATTATTGATTCATCACCACTGAAATTTCTGTTCCCAGAATCCATCTAGTGTTGGTGTTTTAATTTGTCTCTGGTCTCAGTGTAACAAGTACTCTGGGTTTTACAGTATGAACACTTGCTTTCGACTGCAAAGTAACCTGCGCAGTCGTCAACATCCATCGTTTCCTAAAATATTATTAAACGTGACATGTCGCTGATATAAGAATAGAGATTGGAACTATATTGGAGTATAAATCCACAATAGAGCATATTTGTTTAGCGAAACCACATAGTGGTGCAATGATACAGTTCGTCATATTCCACCCAACCCCAGTGTAGCAGAGTTGCATCCTCATCTTGAAACTATCTAATTACAGAATGGACATCGTTAATAGAGGCGCAACCACACGCTGCCTCATAGAATAAAAATAATAATAAAATATCAACATACAGACATTAGCATTATTTTTCATGTATATTCTCTCTGTTCTTAATTTAGTAGGAAATGGAATCACTTGGATAGATACATATGCTAAGGACAGCGAACAACTAAAGCAGAAGAACGTCATGAGAATTTCAGTCTCTTGAAAAATATTAGGTGTTGATTTCACACTCGTTATGAAAGTAGGTTGTTTTCTTGCCTCGAAACATGAATGCACGTGTAGGGGTTACTTATCTCAACAACCAGACAGGCAATCGTGAATCTTCCCCGCATTTGTGGCCAGCTGTTATACTCATTAAACAGAAGAGTTGAGAATATGTGGTAAAGAAGTGCTAAGAATTTGTGTGGACATGCTGCATGGAAGTGGACTTGAAATCTACTCCAGGTACTCGGACAATAATGGCGAACACATAGAGATAGAGGCTGTTATGATATCGCCAACAGCATTGAGAGCACTCATACAGTGAGCAGTACCAATCCAACCTGGAACCATCACAGCAAGATCTAATTAATAATAATAATTTTTGCTTTATTCCAAAAACAGTATTAATGATACAGCAAGGAATTTTCAGCATTCAGTACAATATTGCATCTAATTTACTCAAAAACGACAACAACAAAAAATAAATAAACGAAATAATTAATACATAATAATGATAACAAAACGTTTTTATACCAGCTATGTAGCAATTACAGTATACGATAAGGAGAAAAATACGCATAAAGTATAAAATTATAGTAATAATAGTAATAACAACTAAAATAAAAATAGCAAAGTTATAATTAAACGATAGAAAGGGTGACACCGTAGAATTACAGAAAGATGAACAATGAAAGGGTCGATTCACTATGCTAATTACATAGTAACTTATATGTTTCACGTCTAACAGAGTCTTCATCACATAAAATACGGGCTAAATACGGTACTGTAGAATTTTTGTACTTAGTGGTACGAGCATATAATTTCTTATATTGACTTCTCGTTCTACCTGATGAGATACAAGGGGATAGTTGTGAATAAAGAGGGTGCAGAGGGTCTGACAGTACGGCCTTTGCCCAATTTGTACAGGAATTTACGTGTCTCTCGACTATAGTATTGGCGAGCTCACGCAGTGGCAAACCACAAGCCCTACTCACAGCATTTAATACCCTTCGTAATATGACATAGTCTTTTTTAAGAAGCCCAGGAAAGATTAATGGAGAACAATAGAGTACAATAGGTAAAATACAGGAGTTTAAAAATTGCAGAACTAAAGGTTGGTTGATGCCTTGTTGTTTTAACTTTTTAATGTTGAAGGTAAGACGAAACATTTTCTTAGAGATTAATAAGATGTGGGATGACCATGAAAGGTCAGAGGAAAGAACTAATCCAAGGTATTTAATGCTTGACTTGGTTTCAATTTCTGTGCCAACTATGCTACGGGCATCATGGGAACTAACTAGTTCATGTATGTCACGTCGATGCTTGAAGGTAAAGTTAACTGCCTGACATTTGGAAGTATTTAACATAAGACCACTTGACTTAGACCACTTGCTGATGTCCAACAGAAAGCTATTAAGTTTGGAGCAGTCAGACTCGGAAGTGACAGGCAGTGATACAGTCAGATCATCAGCATATTTGACAAAATTAGTTTCGTTTAAATGTGGCAGGTCGTGTAGGGAGAAAGAAAAAAGAAAAGGAGAGAGGACGGCATCTTGAGGAACACCGGCTTTTGTAAGCAAATCAGAAGAAGATTTGCCATTATTTGCAGTATACTGCATTCTATCAGAAAAATAAGAATGCAACCAACTCTTAGCCCAGGATCCTGTGTGCGTCAAGGAGAGCTTATTTAATAAAAGGCCCCTAGGTACAGAGTCAAACGCAGATGTGTAGTCTAGGAAAGCACCACGAACATATTTGGCACCTTTGTCTAAACAAGAAACAACATTATGATATAAGACAACCGCAGCATCCAAGGTACTTCTACCATGTTTATATGCAAATTGCTTAGGATCATTAAAAGCTTTCAATGAAGGTTCAAGACGAAGTAAAAGTAGTTTTTCCATCAATTTTAAAAAAGGAGAAGTAATTGCAATAGGCCTAAATTTAATATCGGTACCAGAAGATTGTTTTGGTATAGGGATAATTTTAATGTTTTTCCATGCAGAAGGTAGAACATTACTGGAAAAGGAAGCATTAAAAATATTAGTAAGAGGGTAACACAAAATATCAGCACAGTTCCCGAGGACAATGGCAGGTACGCCATCAGGACCAAGGCTTTGGGAAGGCTTAAGCGAACGGAGACATTTAAGCACATCAAGGGTATTAAAACCACTAAAATTATTGTCTATGTGATTTGTATCATTAGGAAGGATATCGACAGAGGAGCGTATAAAAGACTTATTAAGATTATCAACATTAAGAGATTGGACAGAAGTACACCGCTTACCGCTAGTTATTTCTTTAAAAAGTTTCCATAAACTAGAAGGGGTTTTACATGACAAAAATTTTTGGTTGTATAAAACATTTAGTCTGTGCATTTCGAGTTTTATCAGAGTATTTAGCTTTTTTACACCTGACTTATCATTTGTTCCGAACAACAGTTCTTTATCTCTACGGAGCTTTTTGAGATATGGAGAAGAGAAACGGTCAAATCGAGTGAATAATGCTTCTTTAGGACAACATATTTCGAAACAGAATTTAAGATAATCTGTGGTGTTTGTGATTGTGTCATTTATTGTTTGTTCTGTAAATAGGTCCCAGTCAGTATCTATCAACATGCATCTGAGTTTGCTTAGATTGTCTTGTGAGTAGCATCTCCGTTGAAATTTACTGTAGAGGTGAGAGAAGACACTTTTGTGTGATTTGGAATATATTTTAGGCAGTACACGTATGATGCAGTGGTCAGAGTTCAGTACAGGAGCACGTTTGCGAGCTTCATATATACCAACATCATTGATGAATACTAGATCTAGTGTTTTTTTCGAGACGGGTAGCAAAGTTAACAATATTGTCATGGCCAAGTGATATAAGGAAGGAGTGATCACATGAGTTAAAATCGCCAGTCACTATTGATAAAGAGTTCTCGAAGCAAGCTGCAGCAAAAGCGGTGAATTCATCTGCGAACATAGATAAATCCGATATGGTACAGCCAGGAGAGACATAAACATTAGAAATATAAGGGTAGGAGAGCTAAAATTATACATTTGAGCAGACTCAGTAGGTAGGTAGGAGGATTTCTGCAAAAAGTTGCATCCAGTAATTTTGAACACCCCCAGTAGGTTGAGACTTCAAAATTCTAAAGTCTATTACAATATCAAGCCGAACTGGAATCAGAGAACATACAAGAAGAGTGTAGGAGATAAGTGAAGTTCGTCAAGTCAATTCAACCACATTTATTTCTCTATCAGCGATCACTTTGTTCACCTATGCAGACTGAAACACATACTGGCCAATATAATTTTCAGGGGAAAAGGACTCATCGGCAGGGTTGTGATGTGATCGTTTATCCCCATAATTTATTCCTATCATCCCCAATAAATACACTTATGGACACCCTTGACAGTTGT